GCTGTAGGAGTGACTTACGGACCCTCACATAACAACAATTTAGATATATAAGTATAATTCATAAGCCATGGATCGGAGTATAATCACGACCACGTAGGCATAAATATATATATTTATATATAGTAGCATACTTATAATACATAAGCCATGGGTTGGAGTATAATCACAACCACGCAGGCGTAAATACGTATATAGATATATATGTATTATATATATATCATATGTATAGATACTTGTACAAGATTAAACAACAATCAAGCATATGTTTCATTTATCACACAAGAAGTTTTAATCCACATAATTTCAGTCAAGTATATAATCAAATACTCATAACAATAATCAAGAACTTTTAGATCATCTAAATAGCACATAAGTTCTATAAACAATTTATGATCATTCCTTACATTATAATCATACTCTAACTTATCCCCGGTCACTAATTTCTTCAAGAGTTATTTTATAGGCTAAATATTCTAAATCATTTATTCTAAGTTTAGTCATGCTATTAAGGTCATGCATCAAGAGCTTAAATCATGCTCATAATTAATTCCATCACTTCAAAGAAATTCATTTTGGAAAATAGGGCAGTTTTAATACTTTAATTTTGAAAATTCATTTCTCTTTAATCATGCATCCACAATTTCCGAAACTTTACAATAATACTCTCCTCGAAGTTAAGAGTACCCATATAAAACAGTTTTCGAAAATACCTATCCAATTAAGAGGAATACGTAAAACCGTACAGCTCTGTTGTCGAAAATCCAGAAACAGAGCAGTGACTTCAAAAATACCAACTAAAATTATATTATTTTCAAAACACCGTGAAATTTTGATAAAGATTACATCCATAAGTCTAAGATCTAATCCAAGTGGAATCACTATGATCGGAGTAATACAAGATCAGATTTAACATGCATTTCTTTCATGACACATAATCTGTGCAGTTTCAGAAAATAAATCACCACTTAATCATTTTTAATCCAAATAAGGCACACTTTATATCAAATTCAAGATAACAGAGTGATCTATATTCTCTAGGAATTTCACATTTTTATAAAAATAAATGGTCTACGAAATATGGCTTAAACTCCGTGACTATGAATCTGTAAATTTCAATCTAAGCATCTAGTTCAAGATTCTAAACTCAATCATCCTATAGTCATAAAACCCAAACTTAAACACATAAGATTAACATAAAAACATTGGTTAACTTAACATGCAATTCAATTTCAGTAAAGACCAAGGGGTCCTTACCCATTTGAAGAAAATCAAAGATAAGAGAAGGAGAAATTGAAGGATTCATGGAGGTCTTCGAGTTTTGGCCATGGATGATCTTGGGATGCTTTGGGCTGAGTTTGTAGGCTGTGGAAGGGCTGTTTTCTTGGAGTTTATTGATGGGAGAAACTCTTTATGAATATATGCTGAATTATTGAGGGGAAAGAAGAAGGAGAAGAGCTTGCTTCTTTGTGAAGAACAAGAGAAGCCTTTGGGATTATTTGAAGGAGGGGGTTGTCGTGGATTAGAGAGGAGAGAGGGGAGAGGATTTTTGGCTGATGTTTTGGTCTCTGGAAATGAAGGGGAGAGGGTGGTATTTATAGAATTGGAGAGGCTTGTATTCTTAATGGGTAAGTATTGAAGAGGGGTCTTTTTGCAATTAGGAGTAACTTGAAATAATCTAGAGGGACTTCTAGGCAATTTCATTTAAGTTATCTTAAAATAAAATGCTAAATGAAAAGCCAAGTGGAAATGCATATGGAATAAGTGTATGCATGAAACACATACAATCCTAGCCAATTTAAAGAGGGTAAATTACTATCAATTAAGCATATAAACTTTCTAGTGTGAGAAAATAAATTCTTATGTTACTAAAACTAAATTCACGTAATTCACATAATTTCACGTGTTCAATTATATTAAACACATGAAATACATTTTAGTTGCGCAATTAGAGAATAAAATCAAAAATATTCATGTAGACATATAATGCACAGTAGTTCACATAATTTCACATAAATAGCAAATAAAGCAAATTGAAAAGAAACTAATTAAATTCGCACATACAACACATATGCATGCAAAGGAGACGAGAGGAAAATACGGAAAACCGGGTATCGGAAACGCGGGGTGTTACAATCTCCCCCCCTTAAAAGAATTTTGTCCTCAAAATTTGAGAAGTTTACACTAAAATCACCTTGGTACATATATCATGAAATGAATTATAGAACTCAAACCTCTGTAAATTCCTATGTTTTTCTAACACGAATCGTTGTATATGAATCAGTCCAAACTAAATATAAATAGTACCTGATTACTTTAGCGGGGAACCGGAGGAGGATCACATGTGCCTTGAGCCGTAATGAGGAATCCAGTGTATTAAACACTGCTCTGATACCACCGTGTAACACCCTCCATGACTTTTACTTAACTAAGAAATGTTTTGGAAAAATGGTCTTTATTAAAATTTCGATACGATTTGAACCTTGAGAAATCACTTTATAATTTGTGAAAGCATTTTTCGTTTACTTAAAATCATAACCCGAATTTAAAAGAAACCATTTTCATAAAGAGTGCTACATACATGACTATGAACGGGGTTTACAAAATACTCGTAATACAACGGAAGAAAATAAACTTTATTTATATACCCCGGTTTAATAGACTAGATTCCAAAATCAGAGTACAAAATAAACTCGTAAAGATCTCCGTTATACATTGGACTTTTAAAAGGAAAAAGTGGAGAGATACTTTTGTAAGAAATCCGGAGACGACATATAAGGCATCAAGGCTTGTGATTCCTCCAACTCCGCTCCGCTGCGCCACTCTGATTACATTGAAAACCTGAAAAGGAGATTCGCATAAAGCGTGAGCCTAACCACTGGCTCAGTAAGAACATTGGCCTGACGATACTCACACCTCTCTCAACGTGTCACTCACGCCCTACGGGAGTCCTAAAGTCCTCGTCTATGTTCTTTTCATCTATGTCTTTTATGGCATAACTATATTCATTGATTCAATATCATGACATTCATTCATATCACATATAATTGGCCACGTAAGAAACTTAACACATAAAATTAGGCATATAATAAACATGCAATCATTCATTCATATCACATATAATTGGCCACATAAGAAACTTAATACATAAAATTAGGCATCTAATAAACTTGCAATCATTCATTCATTCACTTAACATCAATCTCACATTTACCTGTTACTTTAAACATTCACGGATACTTAACATCCAACTTTCTTTTATAATCGGGTACTTTACACCCTTCTAACATTTAAGGGTACTTAACACCCTTTTTAACTTTACTATGCAATATGCAATATGCAACTTTAGACTTCTAGACTTTTCATGAAATAATGCATGAGGAAAACATTGGGCCCGTTCGGAAAAACAATCGTGGAGTTCGGCAATAAGCCGTGTATTTTGGAGCTTGTGATCTATAACTTTACTATAGTCACGACTATAACTTTACTATAGCCGAGTTAGTGGTTTATAATCCCGATTCCTATGTGAATCAGTCCCTATGTGGACAGGCCCCTATGTGGACCCCAACTATCAACCACTAACCGGAATATAGTCACGGCTATAACTTTACTATAGCCGAGTTAGTGGTTTATAATCCCGATTCCTATGTGAATCAGTCCCTATGTGGACAGGCCCCTATGTGGACCCCAACTATGAACCACTAACGGAATACCAGCCCCCCGTATCCCATACTTATTCACCTAGATCCACAACCAATTTCCAAACATTTTTAACTTTGAAAAATCATGATTTATGCATCCTAGACTTACTAATGAATCATATGATTTGTCTATCTTTACTTTCACATAAACAAACAACAAAGTAACAAGTACCATACCAACTATACTTCAATCTTTAATCAAATCATTAAACACGTAAATCATATAGAACATAACACTTTCACATCATAAGTACACATAAACATTTCATAACCCAAGGTAGCACAAATGAGGGCATTCTTCAACTTTTACCATATCATAGTCACATAATCACATAATCATATAACCACATAATCACACATTCGTATCATTAAAAATATCACTTATATCGCATATAAATGCACCTTAGGCCATAGCTATATAATATTTCACATAAAGCATCGAGTACTTTACCTTTACCACAAGATCACATAACAACAATTTAGATATATAAGTATAATTCATAAGCCATGGATCGGAGTATAATCACGACCACGTAGGCATAAATATATATATTTATATATAGTAGCATACTTATAATACATAAGCCATGGGTTGGAGTATAATCACAACCACGCAGGCGTAAATACGTATATAGATATATATGTATTATATATATATCATATGTATAGATACTTGTACAAGATTAAACAACAATCAAGCATATGTTTCATTTATCACACAAGAAGTTTTAATCCACATAATTTCAGTCAAGTATATAATCAAATACTCATAACAATAATCAAGAACTTTTAGATCATCTAAATAGCACATAAGTTCTATAAACAATTTATGATCATTCCTTACATTATAATCATACTCTAACTTATCCCCGGTCACTAATTTCTTCAAGAGTTATTTTATAGGCTAAATATTCTAAATCATTTATTCTAAGTTTAGTCATGCTATTAAGGTCATGCATCAAGAGCTTAAATCATGCTCATAATTAATTCCATCACTTCAAAGAAATTCATTTTGGAAAATAGGGCAGTTTTAATACTTTAATTTTGAAAATTCATTTCTCTTTAATCATGCATCCACAATTTCCGAAACTTTACAATAATACTCTCCTCGAAGTTAAGAGTACCCATATAAAACAGTTTTCGAAAATACCTATCCAATTAAGAGGAATACGTAAAACCGTACAGCTCTGTTGTCGAAAATCCAGAAACAGAGCAGTGACTTCAAAAATACCAAATAAAATTATATTATTTTCAAAACACCGTGAAATTTTGATAAAGATTACATCCATAAGTCTAAGATCTAATCCAAGTGGAATCACTATGATCGGAGTAATACAAGATCAGATTTAACATGCATTTCTTTCATGACACATAATCTGTGCAGTTTCAGAAAATAAATCACCACTTAATCATTTTTAATCCAAATAAGGCACACTTTATATCAAATTCAAGATAACAGAGTGATCTATATTCTCTAGGAATTTCACATTTTTAGAAAAATAAATGGTCTACGAAATATGGCTTAAACTCCGTGACTATGAATCTGTAAATTTCAATCTAAGCATCTAGTTCAAGATTCTAAACTCAATCATCCTATAGTCATAAAACCCAAACTTAAACACATAAGATTAACATAAAAACATTGGTTAACTTAACATGCAATTCAATTTCAGTAAAGACCAAGGGGTCCTTACCCATTTGAAGAAAATCAAAGATAAGAGAAGGAGAAATTGAAGGATTCATGGAGGTCTTCGAGTTTTGGCCATGGATGATCTTGGGATGCTTTGGGCTGAGTTTGTAGGCTGTGGAAGGGCTGTTTTCTTGGAGTTTATTGATGGGAGAAACTCTTTATGAATATATGCTGAATTATTGAGGGGAAAGAAGAAGGAGAAGAGCTTGCTTCTTTGTGAAGAACAAGAGAAGCCTTTGGGATTATTTGAAGGAGGGGGTTGTCGTGGATTAGAGAGGAGAGAGGGGAGAGGATTTTTGGCTGATGTTTTGGTCTCTGGAAATGAAGGGGAGAGGGTGGTATTTATAGAATTGGAGAGGCTTGTATTCTTAATGGGTAAGTATTGAAGAGGGGTCTTTTTGCAATTAGGAGTAACTTGAAATAATCTAGAGGGACTTCTAGGCAATTTCATTTAAGTTATCTTAAAATAAAATGCTAAATGAAAAGCCAAGTGGAAATGCATATGGAATAAGTGTATGCATGAAACACATACAATCCTAGCCAATTTAAAGAGGGTAAATTACTATCAATTAAGCATATAAACTTTCTAGTGTGAGAAAATAAATTCTTATGTTACTAAAACTAAATTCACGTAATTCACATAATTTCACGTGTTCAATTATATTAAACACATGAAATACATTTTAGTTGCGCAATTAGAGAATAAAATCAAAAATATTCATGTAGACATATAATGCACAGTAGTTCACATAATTTCACATAAATAGCAAATAAAGCAAATTGAAAAGAAACTAATTAAATTCGCACATACAACACATATGCATGCAAAGGAGACGAGAGGAAAATACGGAAAACCGGGTATCGGAAACGCGGGGTGTTACAATCTCCCCCCCTTAAAAGAATTTTGTCCTCAAAATTTGAGAAGTTTACACTAAAATCACCTTGGTACATATATCATGAAATGAATTATAGAACTCAAACCTCTGTAAATTCCTATGTTTTTCTAACACGAATCGTTGTATATGAATCAGTCCAAACTAAATATAAATAGTACCTGATTACTTATCCTTAGTAGCGAGTGTTTTTGTGCACGTTTCATGATGCGCATTCACGTCCTTGAATTGTAGTACGTATTTTCATGATCGCTTTTGTTATCCATTTTTGACCATGTTCGAGTCCGAATTTGGAATTTTGACTTTAGACGGGAGTTGTAGCCCACTGAAATAGCTTTTAATGCCACCGGACCAATCTATTTGGAGTCTGGATGAGAGAGTTATGCTCGACTTCGTGGACACTACCAAAGATGTTGAGGGATTCTCTCTTCTAATTTGATGTTATTTTCTTAATTGCAACTATTTTCTTACCCTTTGATCATTTTTACTTCATGGACACCTAATTTTCGATTTGTACCTAAAAGATACCAAATCCACCAATAAAAACAGAAATATAAATTAATCCAAACAGAAATCCACGTAAACGTAAACGTCGAGTATTATTGCTACACTCCATTGTATCTTTTGTATCTAGTGTTTTTGCTGTTGTCTGTTGATGCGTATTAAAGTCATAGTACTGTAGTTCGTGTTTTTCAGAACGTTGTTTCGGATGCGCTTTTGCGCATGTCTTTTTACAAGTACGTTTTTGTGCATGTCCATTTGAGGGAGCGTGTTTGTGCATGTTTGTTGAATTGTATTACTGTCCTAGGATTGTAGTTTGCGTTTTCATGATCCTTTTTGCGAATGCACTTTTGCTTGAGTACTTTTGTGCATGCTTTGGAACTTTTACACATGTGCGTATATTTTCTAGCAAGTGTTTTTGTGCACGTTTCTTGATGCGCATTCACGCCCTTGAATTGTAGTACGTATTTTCATGATCGCTTTTGTTATCCAATTAAGACCATGTTCGAGACCGAATTTGGAAATTTGACGTTAGAAGGGAATTGTAGCCCACTAAAATAGCTTTCTAATGCCACAGGAACCACTCGATTTGGAGTCCGGATGAGAGAGTTATGCTCGACTTCGTGGACACTACCAAAGATGTTGAGGGATTCTCTATTCTAATTTGATTTTATTTTCTTAATTGCTACTCTTTTCTTACCCTTTGATCATTTTTGCTTCCTGGACACCTAATTTTCGATTTGTACCTAAAAGATACCAAATCCACCAATAAAAACAGAAATATGAATTAATCCAAACAAAAATCCACGTAAACATAAACGTCGAGTATTATTGCTACACTCCATTGTATCTTTTTTATCTAGTGTTTTTGTTGTTGTCTGTTGATTCGTATTAAAGTCATAATATAGTAGTTCGTGTTTTTAAGAACGTTGTTTCGGATGCACTTTTGCGCATGTTTTATTACATGTACGTTTTTGTGCATGTCCATTTGAGGGAGCGTGTTTGTGCATGTTTGTTGATTTGTATTAATGTCCTAGGATTGTAGTTTGGGTTTTCATGATCCTTTTTGGGAATGCACTTTTGCCTGAGTACTTTTGTGCCTGCTTTTGAACTTTTACTCATGTGCGTATGTTTTCTAGCGAGTGTTTTTGTGCACGATTCTTGATGCGGATTCACGTCCTTGAATTGTAGTACGTATTTTCATGATCGATTTTGTTATCCAATTTTGACCATGTTCGAGTCCGAATTTGGAATTTTGACGTTAGACGGGAATTGTTGCCCATTGAAATAACTTTCTAATGCCACCGTAACCGGTCAATTTGGAGACCGGATGAGTGAGTTATGGTCAACTTCGTGGACAATACCAAAGATGTTGAGGGATTCTCTCTTCTAATTTGATTTTATTTTCTTAATTGCGACTCTTTTCTTACCATTTGATTATTCCTGCTTCATGGACACCTAATTTTCGATTTGTACCTAAAAGATACCAAATCCACCAATAAAAAAAGAAATATAAATTAAGCCAAACAAAAATCCACGTATACGTAAACGTCGAGTATTATTGCTACACTCCATTGTATCTTTTTTATCTAGTGTTTTTGCAGTTGTCTGATGATGCGTATTAAAGTCATAGTATTGTAGTTCGTGTTTTTAAGAATGTTGTTGCGGATGCACTTTTGCGCATGTTTTTTTACATGTACGTTTTTGTGCATGTCCATTTGAGGCAGCGTGTTGGTGCATGTTTGTTGATTTGTATTACTGTCCTAGGATTGTAGTTTTGTGTTTTCATGATCCTTTTTGGGAATGCACTTTTGCTTGAGTACTTTTTGTGCCTGCTTTTGAACTTTTACTC